ATGCATATGCCTCTTACACATTAAGGTAATCTTGGACTACATTTGCATTTTCTGCCTGCGCAAACTTTATCTCTGACAAACTGGTTGAATGCTTCGGGAAACTTGATATTCCCTCTGTTCTATCATACCTCCGACTAAGCATCCTATTCGACATAAAATGATTATGACAAAATCCAACATCTGTTACAATGATATAAGAAATGTGACTAGAATTCGACTTATTCGGAACACATTTTTCAAATTCATTAGGATCGTCACTGGAGATCAATCCATTGTGAAGAGAAATAAAATCTGGTGCGACATTATGAGGACTGTAATCAGATTATAAATCACTTAGAACGTTTTCATCATATTTCATTAGGATTCCACTAGAAATAAATGAATCATTAGGACAAACCACATCTGATAAAATAACGTCAGATGTGTGATCAGAATTTGATGCACTTGATATATCTTCCATATGTGTGTGAATAATTTCACTGGAAACACATAAATCATGGAAACAACCCATATGTAATAAAATAATAACGTGAGTCTTATCAGAGTTTGATACATTTGAAACATTCAACGTAATAGAACCTTAGTTTCAAAGTTTAGCATCAGCTGCAGTGAGATGAACAGTAGATTTACAGATAGTTTGTATGTGCCCAATTCCATCACATTTAAAGCATTTAGCATTACATGAATAAAATGACTGAAACTTGTCTCAGGACAAATATTGGCCGAACTTGTGCTAATCTTCGTAACCTGCATCGTAACTCTCCAATGAATTGTGGTTTGAATAATCTTGAGTACGCACTAGATCGGGATGACGTAGTAATGTAGTGAAATTTCCGATGTTCTGACGAATCATTTTATGAAGTTTTACTCTCTTGAAGCATTCAAAATTTGTACTTTTTACATGGTCTAGTAGTATTTCCTTGAGAGCTGGATTAGGAAATGAGATAGGCTTTTCTGGAAATGCCAGAGTTTTTAATAAGCTATAGGCTTCTCTTCCAATAAAAGTAGGGAAATGGGCCACAATATTAACATCCCCAACATCTTCCTTGGTCATAGGATACCCTGTACGGAAGCTCACAGATTGTAAGTCTGGTGTGAATCCTGATTACTTATCCAAATATATATTTCTCTCCACAACCAAGTATGGGTATGATCCCATACTCACGTGCATTGACCGTTTTACAAGATGGATCGAAGCTATTCCCATCACGTTTATCACGGCGGAGACTGTTGCTCACCGCTTCGTAGAACGATGGATAGCACTGTATGGTTGTTATTCGACCGTCACGACTGACCGAGGACAACAATTTGAGTCCGCATTATTCTCCTCACTGACCCGGCTGCTTGGTACGGAACGCATACACATTACCACCCAGCATCAAATGGCTTAGTTGAACGATTTCAACGCCAACTTAAAAGTTCTCTTCGAGCACACGAAAACGACAATTGGTACGAAACCTTACCGCTCGTTCTTTTGGGTATCAGAACGAGTTTGAAGGCAGATATCCAATGTTCCGCCGCTTAACTTGTATACGGCACGACATTGCGTCTGCCTGGGGAATTTTTCGCACCACGAAGCAGTAACGATTTCGGTAAATCAGACTACGTCCATCGACTGTCTGCATTTTTGTGAACGCTGTCTCCGGTGTCAACTCGGATACAACATCGACAGGTCAATCTCCCTCGAGAGTTATCTACCTGTTCACATGTTTTCATACGAGTAGGTTCGGTACGCAAACCTCTACAACAGCCTTACGAAGGACCTTTTCACGTGATCTCTCGTCACGAAAAGACCTTCAAGGTTGATCGACAAGGCCGCGTCGAGATCGTCAGCATTGATCGTCTCAAACCAGCACACGTCGATGACAGTGCCCTACCCGATAACTTCAGACTCAATGCTAGATCTATCAAACCTTCTAGCGGGATCTCTACATCTACCACGAATCCCACGCTAGATACATCAGAGACCTCGTTCTCACGTCCCGATCAACAGCACGCGTCATCTGCACCACGAGACTTCTGTCTCACGTCAAGATCGGCTCACGAAGTACGAACGAGACTACCGTCTTACGTTCCAGTCTCCGAGTACGATTACCCGTACGCTTTCGCGACTAACCACACAGTCAACAATGGATACGGTGTAGGACTATTCCTATACTACACGCATGCCACACTTATTTTTTTTTTGATTTTTTTTTCAATCCTGAGCCCACGCTCCCGACCATCACCCGTTTGGTAACGTCGACTTCAGTCAACCTTGGCGAAAGTTGGCCTGATCACCCGTGCTTTTGTCAACGCACTCAGTCAATAATCTGGTTTCGAATTCGCCTGCCATACGCTTGGTTTCGCGCTTGGCCGTTATGTTCGATTCTGGTTTCTTGGCTCAAAGTGGTTTCGTCCTACGTCTGCAGCGTTTTCTGGTCCGCATCCCCACGAACGCAATCTTCAGATCCTGGATACAAACCACTCTGGTGTGGTATGCTACCTCGAGCAACAAATACAGCACAATTCTCCTGGCACCGTTCTACGCAAAAGACCTACGTTGGCAACTCGAGGATCAACGATCACTTCCTGTTCTGCCAATTTCCTCCGTCCTACAACCGCACTTTTGCCGATCAGTCCCACGAATCAAACCGCTACCTATGGAAAGTGTAAGCCCTTTCTAGCGGGGGGCTTCTGTAGTGACCTATTTTTGTTAACAGAACGCGATTGGTTCAGTGAAAACAATTATTATTATAACTAATTGTACCAGTGACTGTTTTACTGTGCTACAGAGTCATATTTCGGTCGCCGCAAATGTTAGCTCTATAGATGACCCTCAAGTCATCTGCGCAAAGGCAGGTCCTACATTCGTTGAATCACCTGCAAATATTGTCTTGTAATCCTGTAACACACAAAATACCACCAGCAACATTTATATATGAGAATCCCTACTTGTCTATTTTTTATCGGCTCTCTACTTTCACATACATCATGTTTACTTGCTATTAATTTAATTTCACTACCCATTGCTTTGTTTACAACAACCACATTTCGACATTTTACCGAATACTTTGGTAAATATTTGTCTGTCATTGTGACTTCCAAAATGCATATCCTGTGTTTTGAAACTCATAATTTTTTTCTGTGCTTATCCATAATTTTTAACCGCATGATAAGTTCGTCAAATAGTAATTAACGAAAAAATGTGTTCCCACACGATGTAAAACACATAACATTGTGCTAGACATATTATTTTCTGAAACAGTAAACCTAAATGAGCTTAACGTCAGAAAAAAGATAGAGTGTAGTTACTGGTCAGCAAGCATTGGTAGTGAGAGCGACAAATTAAATCCATATACATGTTGCTCTCCTATCCTCTCTATTCAAACTCATGTTATCAATTTTATGTTGAATTCGCCATCCTATAATGATTGCCTATAACGCGCTAACTCAGACTTTTACGTCATGACCTAGTGGCCGGCATCAGATGAAAAACATCAGGGAAAAACAAGCAATAAAAGATATGGTTATTAGTGTTTCTGTACACTTTACCCCTTTTTGATGCATTTTGTAATCAGATGGCTAGGCTTCCTGATTCTGACTTTGACTTCCCTTACATCGTTTGAACCCATTTCACCTTGTAACGCATCACAACTCATCGTTATTCATCAATGCCTTCTCCTATCTGAAGACTAACCACATTTCATTCTAGTAAACGCAGCTAGCGTGACTTATCTTCTTATTCACTATACCCTTTTCCGTCCCATTACGAAGCGTTAAGCGTTGTTGTTGAGTTATATTCAAATGCATGGCTGCTCCCTTGTATATCTCATGCCTGAAACTAACTTACCTAGCGCATCATTTTTATTGGTTTCATTTATTTAATAACCCCACATGCGTAGCATACTGTAAGCAAACTGTTGTTGCGACTTATAGATCATTCCTATAAAAATGGCATGTACCTGCTGTGGCAGAAATATATTATATTATTGTATTACATTTTACATTGCGGTACATGTGACAACCGCATTCTGTTCGAAAGAATTTTATGACAATTCAGTTCTCAGATTCTCCAGTCTACCATGAATACAATAAAGCCTCCCAAGGTTATATATCAACAACTTGATGACGGAACGTTTAAATCGTCTTTAAAGATATCACTCACCTCACAATTTGGACTGCAGTAGATCAATTCAATCAGCAACTCCTGTCTTTTCCATTTTAAGTGGAAACTAATATGCACGTCTCACTTTCGTGAGATATATTATCGATAACGGTAGATGGGATAGTATTTCTAGTGAATAGTGCTATTCCTCCCTTATGCTTCTGAGTTCTTCTGGCTTTTAATAATGTTAGACTTTTGAAATTTAGTTCCCAACTGTCAACAGATTGTGTTAGACAAGTATCCGTGACAGTGACTACCTCAGGCTTGGTAGTATCTCTCCATACACATAGCTCCGATCGCCTGTTGTTCAAGCTCCAAAAATTTGTGTAACAGGTCTGAAGAGCATTTAAACAATAATAAAAATATATTTCTGCAATTGCAGGTGCACGCCATTTTTATAAACATGATCTACAAATTGCAACATTTGTCGGCTCACAGTGTGCTTTCCAAGTAGGGTCATTAGGTAGATATAATCAATAAAAGTGAATAACAGTTCTGTCGCGCAGATGTCTTGGACCGTTATTGATTAGGTTTATGCCATAGTATTACACTGAGGACAGTCTTCAAAATATTTTCTAGAGTGGCATCACGTCCACGTTATACAGCAAATCCAATATCAGCATAGTTGTGTTAGAATAATAGTCATGCTAAGCATTTATGCAATACAACTTTTTAAGTTTACAGTTGTCATAATGAAGATTTAAAGAGCGCTCGGTGTGAACTATGACCTTGAGAATGTGCTCTAGCTGCACACAAAGCGGCTTCGGCGTCGTTCTTTGTCAAAGCCTCATCACCCGAGAATTTGCACCTAAAAAGTGCTTCTAAACAGCGTCTTACCTTAGCTTTAGATTATACCAGCTTCTCGTATTTTTATACGGTCAGTGAGAGGAAAGTCTTTACTGCCAAAAACGTCTGACCCCTTTATTTTATATCCATTATGTAGTACTGAGTCCCTTACATTGAGAGATTGAGATACTAATTTTAGAAGCAAAGTTTGATTCTGTTTTCAAGTTTATTTGACTACTTAGTCACAAAACTTTTATCAAGATGACTCCAAAGATTTCCTGATCTGGTTCGGGTTCTGAGTCCTCACTTTCCTTGAATCGATAAAAGACATGACCCGTCAATTTGACTAGCATTCAATTTATCAGCTACTGTTTGTTGGACTGACTGTTCTTTGCCAACATAGTGTCGTTTCAGTTTATTGATTTATTCCTTTTCATTAGCTCTCATTGGAGTAGCGATCACAGTCGCGCTACATACCGTAAGATCCTGGAGGATTGTCGAGGACCTGGGTGGTTAGGTTGTTGCTTTTCCAGCTATAAACAGACCTGGGGCGAGAGACAGAAGAAACACTCTTCCTTGAGCTTATATTTCTAACAGACTTCTTCGATATAGGTGCGTTCTCCTCTGGTCCATGTAAGTCACCCGTCTCGGAGCTTATTTGAGGTAACATTACGTAAATTTGTGTAGTGATTGAGTGGGTGCCACTTAATGTGTCTCGATTACGTTTGCTTTACTAAACGGTTTGAAAGTCGCGAGCGTTAGATTCGTGAAAACGTCGTGGTACCATCTTTTGCACTGATCGCACCTTGACTTATCAAAAGCTTTTGATAAGGTCAGCCATATATGTCCTGTCAATAAGCTCAAACGATTAGATATCAAGTCACGTTTATTTGATTGGCTCACTTCATATCTAAAAATCGACATTTTAACGTCAGGGTTAACCTTTACCCATCAAAGCTCAGGCGTATAAGAGGTGACGTTGTAATGACAGCATCCTAAATACTTCTGGACATCCTTTTAAACACCTAAAGTTTAGTTCCAACACAAACATAAGGGGTAACATTCAGGAACTGGAGACAACACAACAGAACGAATTGTAGATACACCTTCTACTCCCTTAGAGTAGTCGAATGCTGGAACTCGCTAACGACTCAGCTAGTCCAAGCGACTTCCCGAGAGTCCTTTAAGAGGAAACGTAAAATATTCTTAAGGATTAAAGTTAGTATCTTACTATGATATACCAATTTCTTTTTCCTCTTATCGGTAATATACCTAGGTTACTGTCTGGAGGTATCGGTGATGCACCGCTACTAGATACAAAAGCTCGTTAAGCGAAAGCTTCTTCTATTCCATTCTAAACCATTTGAACCATCTCCTACCACTTTCACCAGTATACCAATAAACTGGGCGTTGGCAACTACTTTTTTGTATTGTCCGGTCATTAATCATAGGTTTTCATAAGAAACTAGACATAATATTCAGAGACAAAAATATGATCAGAAAAGAAGTATAAGACTGAAAACTGTTAGATCCGAAAGTGTAAACAAATTCAAGAAAACCAATGTACTCGAAAGGTACAAACAGTAAGTTATTTTTGAGAAAATCGAAACTTGTAACGATTACTTTGACTGGAATACACGCAACAAGAATGAAAACAGTAGTCTTGATGTGTAATAAACGATTACAGCAATAAAATTAACTCATCGAGACAAAATACCACTGTCCTTTTAAATGGCGCGCGTTGATGATCTCTAGTCTATACTAGTTAAGAGGAACTTTGTTATATATATTTTGAAATAGAGTTTGAATGTCACTTGAACTTCTGTTGATCTTCCGAAAAGTTCTGACTCGAAGTTTGTGCAATCTATCAATGTCTTTTTGTAGAATATCTTGATTCTGATGGTCAGGTTGAATAGTGTGATTTCTTCGGTTTTGATTTTAGAATCCAATCTCTATAATGTCTAGGGGAATAACATTGTATGGCCAACAAATTGCCCAAGGTATAACTACACTAATTTTGTGCTCATCATTTCAGCTGTTGGTCAAAAAATTAGATCAGATGTGGCTTATTTAAAATCAAACTTCAACATTTCTCCCAAATTAGTCGTTATTGAAGTAAGTTTCCTGGGTCTTCTATCGTTTTAGTTTCCTCAATGCGTTCTCTAGCTTATAATTTCTAGTTGTAATTTAACAGATGCCTATAGCTGATTGACAACTTCCTTAACTGGACGCATCGTAACTGTTAATGTTACATGCTTGGGTTCATGCAACCTCCATCTGCAAAACATCTATAACTTACTGGATTAGTACTGTTACTGTTAAAACCCTACAACTTAGTCGCATTAAAGTTTGTGATATATATGATTAACCTCAGGATTCGTTTGCGGCTGTCACATTTAAAATATATAGTTTTATGCATGCGGTTCTCCTACCTTGAGTAACGTTTTCTCTGCTTAATAAATATAATAGTCCGCTTCATGGAATTACTTAGATAAACATAACTATGATGTCTTTTTAGTCTTTCTATAATTTATCGACACTTCAAAATTTAACCATACGGTCGATGTATTTGCATTACGAATGAATCTAGTTAACTAATGACTGGTCATTAGTGTGAAAAGAAATAAACCGTAAAAGTCATTGCTAACGTACTGGGTAATTCACTAGACTATAAGCCACATCTGTTGTTTGGTGACCCACTATACTATGCACTTGTGCTTACGACCTACTGTAGGTGAAATCAATTCAGCTTTTGTAAGCACTTAAGCGTTAATTGAAGTATTGATGACGTAAAGAAAATTTGATTTTTTCGACCTGAATTTCAATGTACTTGAATGTTAAGATTAACATGATTTTCGAGGTTTCAAGAATGAAATTAACAACTTAGTATCTAGGTTTGTGCCCAAGTATGTGGCAACTTTTCCGAGCGCCAAACTGCACCATACTTATGTTAGTTACACCAAGGATTTATCCACAACTGATAACAAATGCGTCTCTGAAAAATCTTAAAGCTTTTTTAAAATGATTTGATGTTGCAACCACTTTTGTCATCTGCGAAGTTAGTGTTATTATTAGAGTTTGATCAATTACACTGTTTTCGAGGTAAGGATGTCAGTGCCCAACCACTAGAGATAATCCTGATAGCTGTACATCACACCTGACCGTTGTTGCTACCCTGACCGTTGTTGCTACCTTGACGTGGTGGTCGGGCTTGCCTATCGTGATGAAGCAACTGAGCTATACTGGCTGGAACAACCGTTCCTCAAGGTCCTACCATGCCAGACAGGTCGGTTGAAGAGCGGTAAGACTAAAAGCAACAAAACCAAGGTCCGAAGGCGAAGTCGTACTGCTGACTGTACAGAGGTGTGACAGCAGTAAGGTGTTTCCTTCAGACAACCAGCATGACAGCGATGCTGCCTTCCCACAAGGAGGGGTGGGGTTAGAAAAGGTCGACCCTAAAAATGCACACCTCGCCTTATCCCACGGATATCCGTCTCCGGCGGTAAGGACTCAACAAGTACGGAGCTAACACAAAAATCACTCATAAAAAGGTCGTGTGTGACCGACCTCAAGCAGCTGTCCCTTGGGCACTGCGGTCACGCTCTCAGGTCACTATGATCAACTCTAATCCAATTTCCTTTTCAGGTACCTCCAGGAGAACCCTTCCACGGTGTGGGCAACCGGGAAGTGATAACCGCCCTCATACCTCTAACAGCACTCAAGACCACTGTATTCATAGTCAACCTCCCTCTTCAATTCCTGACTGACTGACTGTACATCACAAACCCTTAATGTGTTGATTGGCGGTTATAAAAATCAGATACAGAACTCAAGAAGACTTGCTTTTATGTCAAAACAGTTGCATAAAAAAGCCTTTTTGGGTGCGTTGAATACTTGATAAGTGATCAATTATAAATGTATTTAATTGTGCCACAACGCTGTCAGTTTACTCTAAGCCTATATTTCCATGGCGTTCTAACTCTCCAGAGTTTTGTCACTAGTAGCCCTCAAATGCCCTGGTACGGCTCAGGGTGGGGAGTCAGCTCTCCGTCTCGAAATGCTCTCATATGGCCACGCGTATACAGCCACTGCCAGGGAAGTCCTACTCACTGGCTTCTCGTAGCAAGGGTGTTCTTTATGAAACTGAGAGGATGAAGAGCAAATGTCCGGCGCTTTAACTGGGCTGGTGGATATGGACAATCCACCTAATGGAGTGGGGAAACCCTGATTCCAAACCAATGGTGCACATAGGCTCGAGGATCCTAAGGGAAAAATGGCATATGAACCAGTTGTTGGTCACCGGCTACCACGGGACTGAATCTCCTGATGTTTCTCCACTGTCTTGTGGGTAAGACCTTTAGGTCGAAGGCTCCAAGTGAGGCCCCCTAAGAAAACCACCTACTTCGGTCTGGGCACTCGGGCAGTATCACAGCCCACACACAAATCAAGTGACTTGTTTGGCGCATATGTATTTGGTGCCCCTTTGTACCAATATTTGTGTTCAAATAAATAAATAATAAATTTTTCACCAGCGCTGAACGTCGTTCGCAAGGTTTAACCAGTGTAAAAGTCGTTCATGTTATCAGTAATCTGTTGTTTTCACAACTTGGCAATCCTATTGTGCGTTAGTTTTTCCCAAAACAGTTGCTCGTCATTTTTAAAGATGAATTAGTCTGTGATTATGGCCTGGTAAGCAAAAACAATCCTCGTGTTCTTTCTAGGGAGAAAATACTGTTTCACTTTCTTTACTTCTCTCACCGTGTTTCGTTCCTGTAATTTGTCTTTTTATTCCATATGATTTTTCTATATGTAGGTTGGTAATCTACCTCAGTCAAAGTTATACATAAAGCAAAAATCCAAATTTGCGAAAAAATATGGCGTACTTTTGTCTCACATGCAATTTCCATCACATATACCTGAGTCAGTGGTGAGATAGATTAACAAAGAAGTTGATGATAATAAAGCTTTTAGATTACGTTTATAAGTTAAATTCTGATTCATCAGTGCACGGTATCACTTTACAAGTAAGTTGTTTAGCTGTGATTTCAATTATTACTTAAACCGGCAGTAAAATAGTTGGGCCCATTGACCACTTAACTTATATTGGAAGTCTCATCAGCCATATAGGGCTAGTGTTTAACAAAATGTCGGTCCAGATTCAGAAAGCTTGCTTGGCTTTTGTCACCTTATTTTACCTAGGGTGTGGACTAAATAATCATCACGTAACCAACAAATGAGAATATTACCTAACATTTTTCTCTTAATTTCTGTTTGTGACGCGTGGCCCATAAGGTAAGAGTATAAGATGCTTGTTGACTATTGCTACTGAATCAGAGATGCATCCGAATCATTGTTCTTATATGTTGAAACCACTGAGTAAACATTGCTGAGGTTAGGCTCAGGGTATTAAGATGGCGAATTTGTTGATATGAGTGTAAGTCTTTATCGAGTGAGTTGTTTGGGACGTGCTTTTCGTATCCTCGACTACTACTTACCATAATGCTCTATATCGGCTGACATGAAAGTAGAAGGCTATGAGCGACCAAACCAAAACGTGACATCAGTGTGCTATGTCATTGACTATTGGTCTCAGCCATATTGGTAAGTTCAAGTTACCTGGTTGGGATCCGCACAATCATCATCGTAACCATGAGTTGGAGACTGAATGACGTGGCTCAGAAATGATCTAAACATCACAGATTCATTTATTCTTTGTCCTCCCTTACATCATTAGCTTCAGAATTATTTTACCCATTTTATTCCGCGAATTAGTTCTTTCTCTAGTCATATTGTCCATGCTTCATATTTTTCACTAGCACCGATACCACTACTTATTTCGTATTCACCTGTATACTTGTATCTCTCTGTGCTGATAATGTGTGAATGTGGATAGAGTCAGTCAGCTACAACTTAGGACCAGATGCACATACTTGACAGATTACAAATTTTCTGTCTGACCGATTGACCATATACGACCTTTGTGACATTTCCGATTTACTGGCAGATATTTTAACCTGGATCTCGTTTGGTTTGGTAACTTGAGCACTAGTATTCTGAGTTTCTATGTACTGACGTGTCAGCTTTAATTTAGCCTTCCTTTTCAATACAACTTCTCCACTAAACTCAAAACATTTTCCAATAAAAAATCAACTTCGTGGATTGTTAATCTCATCGTAAGTTGCCTATATTTGACGGACTTGTCGAAACAGTGCAATGACAAAGTACTTCTTCAGTCTTGTTTGTTTTGCCATAATCCAAAGCTGTGTATGGCGTTAAAAGATACTTGGAAGGGAGATAATGTTTAATACAAACTAGTCAACGAACCATAATACAAAAACATTTTGGATTTTAAGACTATGTTTGAAAACAACCGTTTAGTGGTTAACTGTACGAGCAGGATACTGAAATTATTGCTCGAGCACCAACAATTTCGGCAACCCTATATACCGACTTATGCAAGAGAAAAATTTACGTTTTCTAACCAGATTTAGTTAACATAATAAGTCTAAATAACCAGGGACTAACTGTATGTTTAGATGAATTATACCTAACTGTCCCCAAATGTGTTAGTTAATTACCTATTTGTGACTGCTGTGTTATTATTATTATTTGAACACATAAATATTGGTACAGGGGGGCACCAAGTATATATGCGCCACAATATATATGTGACTGCTGTTCGAGTTAAGGTATTCTACTGGGCATAAGTGTATACTTTCACTGTTGTCATTCGGTTTCTTTCTACAGAAAAACTAATGATTTCAACGATATTTAGCCGTACATTAAAAAAAATACTGCTCACATGAAAATACTGTAATCTACACAAAGTGTACAAAATTCAAAAGCTCTGTTACATATAGTATAGTGTCATCAACGTCTTGAGTGAGTCTAAGAATATAAAATGAAATGACGATAAATAAAAGAATATCTGGCACACGACACTTGATAAAAATAATATAATTTATCTTCACTTTACTTAAAATTAGAAGACAAAGTACGTGAGGACTTGGAAAGTTAAACCAACCTCAGTGAGGCAATAACTGATGAATTTTCAGCGTGAATAAGAAAGGCATATTTAACTCTGCCTATCCAATACATGTCATAGATCGTTGATGTACCACATGCGCTTCAAAATAATTGTATGTTCTGTAACTACTAAGTAAGTAATGTTAAGGTTTTATGTATACATGTTTCGTAAGTTAATGGATATTTCAAAGTTGCAGAGATCATATGTTAAAATTCCCAAATCATTGTCTACCCTGATATGTCCTATTGGCTTGAAGAGATTTAGATTGGCAGTTGCTGAGGTTGATGATACAAAAACACTAGATTGTTGTGTAGTAAGGTATCTCATAGATGAGACTCTTGTATCCTAGCGTTTTATTATACCTATCCTTATTCTGTAATAATAGGACTCGGGGTCCCTTAAGTGACGTGAGCCAGTGGCATAGGCGTATTCATTCCTTGTTCTTATTTAAATCCTGATCATTTTCACATTACTTACTTTTCGTTTTTAACTCTTGTCTCTACTTTTCAGTATATTTCCATGCCTGCATATATTATTTGTTTACTCTGTTACGAATTATGAACCTACATATTTTTATGTGAACTTCACTGGTGTACGTTAAGCATCGAGCGTGTTCCATCCTGTGTTCTATTGACTGGTGGGATTTTCTCTTTCCAAAAAGGGATAGAGCTTTTAACAATGTCTACATTTACTTCTGACAAGCTTTGCTAGAGAAATTACCCATGCATAAAAATAGTATCTTAGTATAAAAGTTATTCATTGTTGGTTAGTCGCAACTCACCAGACCAGTCATCACATAGCCATTAGGAAATAATTTGTTTAGTTGTGATCTATTGAAGTATTTTTATGTTAAGGGCGTTTAAATTTTAATCAAAAACAAATCTAGTGGACTAAATTGCTCATTAAAATTGTGTTTACTTTTCATTTCTATGTTTCTTTCCTTTTTTGAAGTTACCGTTTGATTCCGATTCAAATATTAATGTTACTAATTCACTGAATGCTGTTGCTACTCTCAAGGATGTTGAAGGGTACGTTATCTATTTATCCACTCATTCTCTTTGTATACCGTTAAGTTTTTTCCGCTAGTTTCTTTTTATCAGTAATCGGGGATTTTGTTAAACGTCAATTGGGTTTAGATTTGTTGAAGAAGTCAATTTCCATTCATTTTTAATCTCATTCTGAACATTTTGCAAAATAACTTTGTGTGATTAAACAAGTTATCATTATTTGTTTGACACTGAGATGATATATTATCCTTGTTATTGAAACTACCCCTCATTGCTTACTACGTGTTAAGGTTTGTAGTTTCCTATTGTTGATATTAAGGGATGAATTTGGTCAATCATTGTTGTAACATGAACCTTCTAAAATGGATATCTTTATTTAAAAGTTAATGGTATTTTAGAAACTATCAAGCAACAGAATCCTGGACTTACATTTCACCCTGCTCGGCATCATCAATTGGATGTAATTCCATTCGTCGTAAGACCTCATTTGTTGTCAAATAATAATGAAATTCCATTTGGAATATTAACAATGAAATAAAAACCTTTGAAATTGCTAAAAATGCCGTGCTTACTCAACTTCATATGTAGTCGAATGAGTGCGTTGTTGATAAATCTTCATTTGGAATGAAATTATAATCTCTGTCCCAGGTTTCATAAACTTAACGATCAGGGAATATAAACTAAAACGAAAGTAGGGTTTGGAAGTATGTTGATACAATTAGTCAAATGGAAAATACGTAAGTACAACCTTGTGATAACCAATAAGTAGGTATAGAATGATATATTATTAATTACGTGGTTCGATTACCACGTTATTATTCAAAACAAAGTCGGCATCTAGATATGAAGCATGATAATCATAATATTCATTTATGTCCCTACAACAGATTTTGTGAACCTTTCCATCCAGAGTCTGCAATTATTAATTCAGTGTTTTGAGAACCTCAACCTGACAAAATGCAGACAAAAAATGCTCATTTTTCTGTGGCTCTCCAGTTACCTTTTTTGAGTGAGAATGTTGTCAAATCGATCAGGTATCTACGTATTTCTTTCCAAGTCATGTCTTTTTGTGGTATATTTCGAATGAATAACCTGACATTTAAACAAGACTGATCCATTATTGGTTGGACGATATATTTTTGAAATATGTATTCAGGTTGGCAAAAACATTTGTGACTGCATAGCTTTATTAATTTTTAATTCAATCGGTAGGTTGCTAGGTCATTTGCCCATACATTTTCTTTTTATATTACAATTTTTAATGTTCTTAGTAGTTGATGCTTAATTTTTAAATAATCTCCAGTGTTTGTCGTCGTTGGTATCAAAGGAAATATATCAAATCACATTTTTCATTAGTTGATATGTGCTTGCCAACGAACATCACTTACGTTACGGAAGTTCACTCTTTATCGCTACTTATTCCAGTCCGTACGATAGTTGTTGAAAATTTTATAGGCTCAAATTCTGCGTAGTTTCAAGGAAACTATATTTTTATTCTGTTAGTCTTAAAGACTCACTGATAATTTCCTTGTGTCTTAAAGTATATCATATATTTTATAGACACTTATCTTCGTGGCAATTTTTCTGCTTGTTCTTTACCTATAGTCTAAATCCTTATAATACAGCTGTATTAAGTCGTGGGGATATACTATGTCCTCACTGTGAAAACGTAAAACAACAGCATGTTCATATACCTTGTACAGCAGCCGCTTGCTATGCTTTTATTCGTCATGTTAATTTTCCTATAATTGGTTCACGCTGTGTAATCATTGGTGGTGGTCGTCTTGTTGGAGCACCCACAGCGGACTTGTTGTCACGATCGTGCGGTGCAACAGTTATACAATGTCATATACAGTCAAATAATATTAACGAAGAAATTAAGCGAGGTGATGTTGTCATCTCGGCAGTTGGACATCCAAAATTAATAAAGGGTGAATGGATTAGACCAGGAGCATTGGTAATTGATTGCGGCTATTCTGTTCAGAATGGTAAGTGGAATTAAATCTGTTGTTTTAAGCTTTAATATGTCTTTTTGTAAAAAAAGTTTCTATGTAACTGAATAATATAAAAATAATTACCGATAACTTCAATACCATTACTTTCATGCTTGTTAATTTACGTTCACTGAACTGTTAATGAAGTATGGCAATTTGAACTGACAGTTTTTCGTTCTAACTTGTACAACTCGAATACCTGATGGACACAGTAGATTGGTGGTATGCACAAGAAAATGATTCAGGAAGAATATATCACACATTGGTTATTGATGTACTTGTAATAACTTGGAGGACGTAAACTGTGATATGTATGGTTTATTATCAGTGGTGTGGGGACAGTTTGTCATTTCCCGGTTGCTCACGTCATGAAAGAATAATTTTTCGTGGGTGATCTACAAAGAAATCTGTATTAGTTGTGAATTTAGCTACCTGAAAGCGTAATCACAGACCGAAAGGCAACTACTTGAGGCCGGTCACATACGACCACTTTGTGGCCAGATTTTGATGTGTTAGTTCCGTACTTCAGAAGGCCTTAACACTGGATATAGAAATTCTCTGAGTAGTGTGAGGTGTGACATTTTAGGGTCTACCTTTTCTAACCTCCTCTCGTTATGTGGAGGTAGTGTTGTGGTATGTGCTATTGTATCATCAATCGAAGTGGATTGCCTGGCGACAGGTTAAGAAGATCAAAGAAAAGAAAACGAGAACAGAGAATGACTGGTATGGAAATGAAGGAATAATGAAGTCTGAGACGACTGATTGACATTTTGCAAATGAATTATTTACTGTACGGTTCTCAGATTTTAGCAAGAGATTTTGTAACTTTGTGTTGAAATACATTTGGTTGTCCCCACTTGTGTTCTCGTTCACTACAGTATCTCTGGAGATGCTGTTTGTCTGAAGGAAACACCTTACAGCAACTTCTCCCCCTTAAGTTACTGCTTTTAGTCTTACTGTTCCCCGATCTACCCGCTTGGTATGGTAAAACATAAAGGGTTGTTTCGTGCAATATAGATCGAACAGATCATTACGATATGTACATCCTACCATGGCGTCCAGATAGCAACTATGGTTTGGTTCAGACTAATTACTATCAAATTTAATGCGTCAATTATCAGTGTAACTCATTTACTGAATGCAAGAACTTATGTACTAAGCTTTGAGCTAACTGTTTGTATGAGGGCTGGTAATATTACCCAGCAATTCAAACCAGTGATGGAGGGCGGAGTCTGAACCTGTAATCTATTGGATGGAAGCAGAACACTTGTACTACTAAACTGTGATTATCAGAATTTGTTTGTTTATAGATTCACTAATCATTCTATTGAATGATCTGAAACCGAAAATTTTAAGCAACGTTGTATAAATATACATATTTATCATTACAAATATTGTTATTTCCGTTTAAACAGATCCTCAAAATCCAAACAAATCACGATGTGTCGGTGATGTAGAATTTGAAGCAGCTATAGAAAACGCGAAGTGGATTACACCAGTTCCAGGTGGTGTTGGTCCAGTTTCAATCGCTATGTTATTTCGTAATACTGTAAATAGTGCTAAATGGTCTGTAGGATTAAATAATTCCATATGTTCTTGTCAAAATTATTGTGAAAATGATATCCTATCTAAAGAGTATGTTGATAGAAAAGTGTCTACATAAAAAAGATGATAGCTGTCTTAGTTAATCTAATCAATGGATATTGTTTTTTATTTAAATATATTCTGTACTTATTCAATTATCTTGAACAGATTCTAAACCATACATTTATTGTAAATTGTTTCTACTACCTTATATTCATTAGCGTTTTGCTATTCGTAATATAGGCAAAAGCGATATGTTACTTATTTGTATACTCAATTATTATTACCTTTAAGTGAGTATTTTAACTTCGTGCCAATTAGCATCTTGTGATGTATAATGTAAAATAACCCAACTACAAACCAAAACATACAGTTCTTGTTGTTCACATGAAATAAAAACATATTTTAAATATATCGGTAGTTTTGATTATGAATTATTTCTGTTAGTATGTATCATATTTTCAGGTGTTGGCAGTGTGATTCTGACGTTCGAGTGTGTGCAAAACTTAGTAGCCACAAGGAAATTAAAGAATAATTACAATTGGCTGACCAATCAATAGTGATCAGTAATATGTTTGTGTAAGCGTTTAGTGTTGATCGAATTCTGTCGATCAGGTTACTGTATGACCACTAGTGTGACTTGACTATGGTGAGATGTTATGTGGTTGGATGTCGTGACCAAAATAGGTCAGTGGTAACACCTCAAAATGTGAATCTAGGGGATGCAGGTTAAAATCCCACAGGTAGCAGCAGTTCCCTATAGATTGCAGGTACTTCGTAATAACGAGTGTCAAATGGCACAAAACCTGAGTCCAGAGTTTCCTGTTGACCTTCAACCATATAGCATCTCAGAATAATGTCAGGATTAATGACTCTTGAAAAGTAACCATTCATTCATTAGCGAAGGAATGTGTTTTTTATTCATTGAAAGGGTCTTTATTACTTCTTAAATATTAAAGACTAAACCCAACTGGGCAATATCAAGGGGGTCTGTGAATGGGCAGTTTTAAATTTTGACCTGAATATATAAACATTTGTGACCAATGAAAAATTTCGTATCCCTCGAATAAGTTGGTGTCCATCATGACATTGACGTTGAAATAGATAAGTATTGGGTATAGGACGGTATCGGAAACATTAACAAATGAAAAATGGGAATAAGACAATATATATTTCTTGATACTGGCTGAAAGCGATCAGGTAGATCAAACGATACAGTAAGATACTTTATTCACAGTCAGATCTGAATTTATATATTTCACCTTTCTAGAGTGAAATCGGGTTTAAAATTGAACTTCATTGGTGATTCACGTATCTGAAATCGACTTAACAAAGTCCGTTCAATTGGTGAGATTGAACCTTGTAGATTTTGAATAAATAGTCAAATTAAGAAGACGACATTTTTATGGCTAATCAAGCTATGGTGTTTCAGGACCTGTTTATTCGTGTTGGCTATTAATACAGTTGACCAGAATGGTTCAACATAAGAATGTAAACTGACAGACAGACATAAGTGTCTGAGATTAGCATCTTATGCAGACAAATAATTTAAGAACGTAATCTTCATGCAGTATGCTCCTGGATATTTCACTAGATGTTTTGTTAAATATTTTATTGGTATTATCACCAATAAATTTCACTGTCACTTATAAAGCGTGTTCAGGATTCTTTGTGGATTATTTCGTAGTTTTACGACCGGTTATTCTCCATCGGTAGCTGTTTTAAATTAGGAACTGAAGTGAGGGTTTCCATTCTTTTTTTTTCATATGCTATTAAGCTGTCGTAGGTTACGTAAATGTTGCACTCCTAGTACGATAACTGTTGTTGAACTTTTAGAGAAAATCATACTATCCAATTGCGTTTCAATTTTTTACCATTCTTCTTGTGTGATGTATGGTATGAATCCTAGTTGTTCAACCAAAGCAAAATAGATCTGTTTTCCAGTCACCGCATCCATTCTATTTAATGGACGGGCCGTGAATAATAGAAGTATTAAGACTCATCGTTAATTTCTGTGACTGTTGAGTCACAATATTAGTTTGGTAAAATAACCGAAAAATGTGTCACACTATATCGTAAAGCATGTATTGTATGCTACTAACAAAAATTAAATTAAGCAGAGATCACGAGAAATAATCAAACTTCATGAGCATCTCAAAGCAACGAAAAGTAGTGATCAGCGCGTGGACTTTTCATTTTAACTAACAATCCTCGGTTTAACATCACCGGTATTCCTCAATCTACATTTTTCGGATTGTTTTAAGACATTATTTGGAGAATAATAATTTGGGTCATCCAAGTTTACACTAAAAATATTTATATAGGTCACGTGGTATACTTGCAGAATTGTTTCTTTTTCCCATCAAACTTTTGGAAGCATTTTTCGAAAATTGATGTCCCTCTTACTCAGTAACGACATGTTTAGCCAATACTTTAGTCGAAACTTAATTCAAATGACAATTTTTGTGTTACTGTGGTACATATATGTTAAGTGGGTCAAGTAATAGTTGGCACTTGTTCAAAGAATACGGTCAACATAGCGAAAGTGTCGTCCATACATTTGTTAAATCAATTAACCGAACCGAGTTGGCACATACAAATCGGTCCAAGTTACCATACCTCATTAGCACAACAAGATGAACACCGAATTCATAGAAGTAGTTAATTCAATGGTGGTAATATATACAAGAAAAATTGCATATAAGAATATGTAATTTTAATCTAACGATTTAAGGGAAGACAATGAGTGCATACACCTACACCACTGTGATCGATTCTGAGCCATGTCACCAGCAAGTAAACACTAAAATCTATAACACAGACTGGCGCTGGCGATATTCACAAGCCCCCATTGGGACATTGCTGAAGTTGACTGAGGCACTTTTTAGGTCTTTGAGCCCATAAGAAGTGTTTATTTTGGATACTTTAAATCTTCAGATACCTCTATAGTTGGAAATCCCACATATGTTATATAGTGATGCAAGCCTGGTGGTCTTAGAAAATTCTCCCCGAAACAATTAATATTTGTTGCTGGTCGCTTCATAAAGCATTTCAATTAGCTTACAATACCGGGAACAGCTGTGTTTCCCAAGTCTGGTTTGCGTTAAACATTCCCTGATTTCGCTGTAATTGTATGGGAATGAGCAACATATATATTTTTGTCACCGATAGTATTAACGTTACATAGTCAGGTAACTGTTTAGCTAATTGAAGATTTCCTTTCTGTAATGAATAACCACATATAGTAATTACAAAATTAGAATACGTATTGCTTAGCATTGTGCGCTATTTAAATCACAGGTTGATATCATTCATGAAACCTAATGAAGCGATGTAAATTTAGTGGAAGGTATTTGAATTTCATCGATTGACGAAATTGTACCATTTTCAAGAGTATTACTATTTTAACACTACAAGCTTCAACATGGAACAGATTTTCACTACAAATTGATGGTTGGATAACCATTAAAAACCAAGGGGTGCAAAATAACTGATCTCTCGTAGTTCTGGAACCCTGAACACTACACACTGTAAACATCATACATGGTTGGTTGGGAATTTTCAAGTCATGATAACTTTGACTGACGGAGTCAGTCTAATTTCTATCAATGCGCGATGTTGCATGACGATTTAGTGTTATCGAAGATAGCTATATCGTCTACTGATTTAGATAAACTTCTGATCACAGGTTTTCACTCCAACTTCAAGAATCAATCTCTAAGCTAATTACAAATGAGCGATTCCCCCAAAATCCTCTCATAATAATTCATCATATCTCGTACATTAAAAGGAGTGTGAAATAAGTAACTCATAGAATGACACAGATATTGAAAGTCGAGTAAAATGAATGATAGTACATCGTATTTTTAAAAATGTATATCCATAAACCAGAAGACTATATAATTCTGCAATATTATTACCATGAACATTTTTGAAATATCTACGCCAACAAAATTGAATATGTGACCAAGATAGAGTTCTTTCCTTTTTTATCATTTATGTGTTCCGTTTTGAAAAAAACATCACTAAAGTAGTTTGAACTTTAACAAATAAACTGACCAAATTATCTAAATACTTTCATACTCCTCTGTAACTATAACATACATAACACAAAATTAATGTAATGATAGAATGTGTAAAAAAAGAGTAAACTACACAAACAAAAGAAGGAAATAAGTTTCCTAGAACAATAATATTAATGGTAACAATGACAATAATAATGAAAATGATAGTAAAATATAATCACATAAGTCATTTAATATCTGCAATAATGATATTTCGATTGAGTTCGAGGGCAATTGTTTAATGAATAAATGAGTAAGTGAAGGAACAAATGATATTAGGCGTATAGAATAAACTGATAATTATATGTTTTATGCTTAGTTTGGAAGTGGATTTCCTTCAATCTATTGTTGCATAGTTTCAGATAAGGCTGCCCTTTTCAAAGCTGCTTCAACAGCTTTCCGTCGAGCGATAATTGACTGAAAGAGAGAAAAAAGTAAATGTTATTCGTAACTGTTCTAATGTTCGTTTTGTTTTGTCATTAAACATTGTGGTTTGTTAATTATTCATATATGTCATCATCATTTTGTTATATATACTTTCGCATAATTGAATCATTCAATTAATATGTCTTTAATGGAGTTTTGTTCTCTGAGCTGGATGGTTTGGTCGTGGAGCTCTCATCGTTCTTCTGAACGACATTATCAGCACAAACTTCAGATAGAAATTCGAACGCTTCACTTCTATCTGAAGTTTGTGCTAATGATGTCGTTCAGAAGAACGATGAGAGCTCCACGACCAAACCATCCAGTTCAGAGAACAAAACTCCATTAAAATCACCCACCTGAGCTACAAATCTTCTCCACCATCTCAAAATTAATATGACTGCTGTACTGATGATATTCAAATCAAGATCATTTTGAGTTAATAATATAAACCGATCTTATATGTTTTATACTGTTAGAAACAGAACTTTAAATTCATTTCAAATTGATAAACAGAATTATTAACTCAGGATAGTAATACTGAAAATGTAACCCTTTTATATTGCCAAGACTTAGTCTCGAATACTCGATCGTTCATTCTGTGCGACGTAATCAGTATAGACTTATAAAAGAGATGAGTAACTGAAATTTATTTTCAGTTATTATTTAGTGTTAATATCATTTTCAT